TCAAGGGAGTGGTGAAAGTGTGTATTCACCTTTAACATACTACGTATAAAAAGCATTCAAAAATACTAAGTCACAAAGAGTTTTGTTACAGAAAAGTTTTGATAAAGTGACTCCGCGAAGACATAACCCAACTAGCTTCAACCGTATTATCGATCATAGAAAGTAAAGATAGACACATACTGATGACAATTTATTGTCAGTTTATACCTAAATGTAATTTCAGTCAGTTTTATAGGAAGTCCTTAGTGTAAACAACCTGTTAGTTATAATGTCATTTGCTTTTTATTAACAACCAATATTTATTTATTTAAACACATAAATACTGGTACAAGAAGGCACTAAATAGATATGCGCCACGTAAATCGAATGATTTATGTGAGGGCTGGGATACTGCCCAGGTGTCCAAACCGTAGCAGGTGGTTTTCTCAGGGGGCCATACCCGGAGCCTTCGACCTAAAGGTCTGATCCACAAGGCAGTGGAGCAACGTCAGGAGATGAAGTCCCGTGGTAGCCTGTGACCAGCAATAGGTTCATACGCCTTTTGTTCTTTCAGGATACTGGGGCCTATTTGCACCATTGGTTTGGAATCATGGTTTCCCAACTCACCTAGGGGGACTCTTCGTGTCCATCAAACCGGTTAAAGCGCTGAACATTTGATTTTCATCCTCTCAATTTCGTAAACAACAGTAGTGTCGCGAGAAGGCAGTGAGTAGGACTTTTCTGGTAGTGGTTGTATGCACGTGGCCAGCATTTCGAGAGAGAGACAGGGCTGACTCTCCCCACTCTCGGTCGTACCAGGACATTTGAAGGCAACAAGTCATTTACCATCTATAATTATCCTGGAATATGTGGGCTGGGGATAAACTCAACGTTGTCAAGTCACTTAAATGTATCGCATTCAGTAATTATAATTATGTTTTCCTTTATTTATTCACTCAATTGTAGATATTTTGCAACAATTTCTTTTATAGAATTAATTGAAGGTATGACTTTTATTATGTTGTAAGTCTTCTTCCATTATGACTGAGTGCGCTTCACTTAACACATCTGTAGTACGATGGAGTGGTATTTTCACGTAGAAAACTTGATATTTTTCATATAAGCCGGAAAAAAAAACAGAACGAACATGCTCTTCATCATGGACTATGATGGTTGCCAGGTTCAAGGTCAAAATTGCGAATGAGAGTGAAATTTATCCTCAAATAACATTTACATGTGAAAAATAGATCAACTAGACAAATGCAAGTTAAAACGAAACAACGTTAATAAAGAAAATAATATGAAAGTCACCACTCTGGATGTTAATCAATATTACTAGGGTAGATAATAAAATGGGGCCAAAATGTTTTGAATATATAATCAGAGTTTGAATTTTCAAGTGAACAAGGCTTCAATCAACTTAAGTATACATCTTAGATATATTAGTACAAAATCACAAAGACTAAGTTAAGATCAACCATATGACTTATTTCTGTTGTGCTTAGCAATTGAGGATCATGAATGTTTATCATCTGCTCTTATTGGGTCAGTTGATTTTATTTGTTTCTGTCCAAAGGCTGTAATCTCCAAACTACTATTGCTATTCCTTATGTATACATGGCCAACCACAAATATAAATTGATAAACACAGTAGAATGTAATGCAATCATTTAAATACCATTCTAGTTTTTGACGAAGCATGGATCTTACTTTTTCAGTCATCTATTATATTCGCTATACAGTATAAGTGATTGTGGGTGGTTAATACTGTCATTGGTGCATTTGTTTATCGATCACACAGTACACTAGGTACTTGTAAAACATCCCACTATGTCCAACTATAACATGCAAATGTGATATCACATAGTGATCACTTATCTAAATCAACTTCGAAGATCATAGAAAATATCCTGATAAACAATTTTGATCTCAGTAAGTCAATAATATTAACCCTCTCTCTCTCTCTCTTCCCTACAATCGATTACATAATCGGTTAAAATCATTAATACCAATTGATTTTTGTAAAAATAAATCGAAGTTTTAACTAACGAAAGAAAATCGATTAAATTTGAAAATATTGATTAGGGAATATTTTTGTTTCCAATTTAATATCTATCAAAGTAATTGGAGTATAAATGTTATAGAATTCATTATTCATTAACCATAGATAAGAATCGACAACCCTGGCCAATGCAATAATGTCACATGCCTATGCGCATATGCTAGTTCAAGATCAAATGATATATGTATTATTAAAATGGATGAACGTTATTAGTTAGAGTTCATTTTTTATTGTTTATTTGAATCTCCCCATTGATTGCAATTGATCAGTCACTTATAGGTAATATGTTCATCCGGTACGGATTGCCTCGTTAAGTCACAAGCGTTATAAGCAGAAATGGATGGTGGCTAGCAATGGAACCCAGAATGAGTGTTTCAGGATACAGGTACATTTAGCTGACAAGTCTTAAATAGGGTGAAACATTTGTCTTGGATTCTACTGCTAGCCACTATCCATCTTTGGTTATTAGTTAGAGTTGGCTCGATTATCCGATGGACACATATATACAAATTCTGAGTTTTTGTTCGTTTCGGTTAGGTTTTCTAATACAGCTTCTTATCTATGCTTAGCCTTATCATTCAAGCACTAGGTTGGGTTCGTATATAACAAGCTTGTATATCTGCAACAGATTCCTATAATCGCCTAACACAACAGAGATTCGGAATCTAAAGCTTCATGCTGTGTGACATGCATCATCAATCTTCTGGATGAATTGATTCTTTCCAATAAATTTCAACATACGTTATTTATTTTCACTTTCAAGGATGTTATCACTGAGTTGTATGAACATTACTTCACACAATTGATTGATTAGATGAAGACTAGAGCTTTATGAAATAATGATCAATACCACTTAACGTTTATTTTAGTTTGAATAGTGAATAAAATAAGTAATAAATTGGAATTCAAAGAATTACTTTGCAAATCTTCAATTATATGATTTTATTCACTACAGTTCCACTTGTTTGTCAACTTTTAAATAACTTCCTACTTTGTGAATGATAAATTATCTAAGTTATATGAGTTGATGTCAGCCAATCAAGAATTGCATAGTGATAATGTCTCGTCATGGTTACTCATATGCTTAGCTTATCGGTGTAAAAATAAACCTTGAAATGAAGTGCACAATTTAGTAGATCGCTTACTAATGAATTGTACCAACTTGTAAATCATCTCTTCTATGTAAAATGACTCTGTCTAATGTAAATTTTAGAATATTCCATAGTCTAATACTTACTTACGCATGTTACTCCTCGTGAAGGAGCGTAGGCCACTCACCAGCATTCGCCATCCAACCCTGTCCTGGGTAGTCCTTTCCAGCTCCTTCCAGTTGTTATTCATCCTTTTCATATCTGCTTCTATTTCTCGACGTAATGTGTTCTTCGGCCTTACTCTTTTCTGCTTCCCTTCAGGATTGCAAGTTAGGACTTGCCTCGTGATGCAGTTTGATGATTTGTCTAATGTATGTTATATCCATTTCCATCATCTTTTTCTAATTTCTTGTTCAGCTGGAAGCTGGTTTGTTCTCTCCCACAGTATGGTGTTGCTGATGTTATCCAGTCAATGGATGTTGAGTATCTTTCGTAGGCAACCATTTATAAATACTTGTACCTTCTTGATTATGGTCGTTGTAGTTCTCCAAGTTTCAGCTCCGTACAGTAAAACTGCCTTGACGTTCGTATTGAAGATTCTCACTTTGATATTGGTTGAAAGCTGTTTTGAGTTCCATATGCTAACCAGAAAAATAATTCAAACCATAATCTAATACATTTCTAACAATTCTATTTGTTAGAGACCTTTGTAGCTTAGTCGAATTTTTAATATTTTTCTTACCATTCGTCAGAGTTTAACAAGTAATATTTTGCTTACGCATATAACTAGATAACCACTGAAAACGAGGAAGCACTGAATAGCTGTTTTAATTCTCTCACAGGACTCCTTAGTTCTTAATAACCACTACTTCCTAAGGAGTAGAATCTAGAATATTCAGGCTTCTTTCAAATAGCATTAATTCTAGACTGTTGATTTGTTATCTCACAGTTTACAGTTCTAACTTCAGTATCTTGTCTAGCCACAGTCAGTATACGATACTTACTTACGCCTGTTACTCCCAATGTAGCATAGGCCGCCGAACAGCATTCTCCAAGCCACTCTGTCCTAAGCCTTCCTTTCCAGTTCTATTCAATTGTTGTTCATTTTTCTCATGTCTGTCTCCATTTATCAACGTAATGTACTCTCTGGTCTTCCTCTTCTCCTCCTCCTTTGGCCTTGAGGATTCCATGTGAGGGCTTGACTTGTGAAGCAGTTCGGTGCTTTCCTCAATGTGTGTCCTATCCACTTCCAGTGCTTCTTCCTGATTTCTTCCTCCACTGGGATCTGGTTTGTTCTTTCCCACAGTAGGTTGTTGCTGAAAGTGTCTGACCAACGGACTCGAAGTATTTTGAGTAGACAACTGTTAATAATCACTTATATCTTCTGGATGATGGCTTTCGTAGTTTTCTAAGTTACCGCCTCATACAATACAAGTGTCTTGACATTTGTATTGAAAATTCTGAGTTTGGTGTTGGCTTACTTATAGTCGTTTTGAGTTCTTTATATTCTTCAGTTGTAGATATGCTGCTCTTGTTTTGCCGATCCACGCCTTCACATCTGCATCAGATCCACCCTGTTCATCAATGATGCTGCGCATATATATATCGTTACAGAGAATATGGCTGTGAAATATAGTACAATTTGGACGTGACCAGTAGTATATGAGTGATGTAATATTTGGCACTATAAACGTACTCAGTGTTCACAATCGTGTTCATTGATGTTTGTACAACATGCCTAATCACTAATTATAGGTCGTTTTGAAGAGATTGTCGGTGATGTAGTACTTTTTAACAAAGTACTTCATATTACTTATTAGGAATATTGCCTTGAGATACTTGCAAGTGCTAACCTCACAGGTAAACTCTTACAATCTCGAAGATTTTTTTTATCAATAACGTCGATTTCGTAGATACTGGATCAGAATTCCTAGATTCAACTATCGATATCAAAAAGAAACTTTTCATTGGGCTGAACTTTGAATAGTCTTCTCTAATCGACGATTGATTCGGAGATGTGTGTAGAATAGAATGTTGTCTTAGACCACGTCCATGTAGATTCACCATTTGCTCTTGAGAAACACGTAATACGAACCACATAAAGCGTGTTGTTTCGAAACACATTTCCAAATAATACTTGCCCTGTCTGTCCAAAACTCGATAGAAGACCATCAGTAGCTCTACTTTTGAATATTTCATGAACCCCAATCATATCGCCTCACTAGATTTCAAAATTGTCTAGAAAATTGAACAAACAAGCTCAAAGATCATATGGATCAGAAACTTGTTCACAATGGAGACTTGAGATGTTTATCATTCCAAGCCTGAACTTCATATTCAATATACCGATACTCCCAATTCTTTCCATCATGGTAATGATCCGCCGTTCATCTTTTTATAATGCTTAGTAGAAGAAGTACATCTTTTCACTCCTAAATCATCTTCATATTTACCAAGTAGACAATTATCTTTTCATTTCTCACCTGTAATCTAATTATATCACTGATGATTTTCACTAATCTTTAGACTATTATCTAACATTTAATGCTTGAGATTTTTCAATCACTTCATTAATAACACAATACCTATCCTATTTGGTTATAGACTACTATGTATTAAATAACTATAAATACACTTATACAGCTTTGGTAAATAACATCCTCGAGATCTGTTTGATTGAATTGTCTTTATAATATGCTTTTTCCATTATTTAAAAATTGTTAACAATCCTGGAAATTTTGAGAACTAGATAAAAGCACTTGATCTGGTGAATGATAAGCGGTATTTTTTTTAAGTAGAGGGTAAAAAGCTGAAAATCGTTATTTTGATCCTTATTAGCCCAGTAGCATAAGATAGTATTAGCCATTTTAATGTGTTAATATGATCATAGGTTACCTTGGAATACTTGTTCAACACGTGAGTACGTTAACGTTAATCGGTCAGTTCAATCCCGAAATGATCCACCTATCTAAATTGTGAATGTAATCGAAGTCCTTTTTTGTACCTATCAACTTATATATATATATATATATATATATATATATATATATATATATATATATATATATATATATATATATATATATATATATATAACATGACTAACTGTGTATGTAATCACAAACGTTTTCCGAACAGTGTTTGTTTGTTCATTCCGGTCTGTAGAATTACCGAATGGGGAAGAGTAACTAACCAATATGGTCAATAATTTATGCGAAGATATATATACACATATATTATGTTACTGTTTCAGCCAACTCTAAGTGACTTTCAAAAAAGTTCTTTTTAGGATGAAACATCCAGAAAACCAATTGTATTCAAATTTGAACTAAGCGTGGGTTTGTAGTCAAAGCTATACAACTATCTTATCAACTAACCTTTTTGGGAGACAGACATGAAACTTAAACGATTATCCCTCTTTTTTGATAGGTAGTTTGAATGAGAAATTGTATGTATGTATACCTATGAGTTTAAGCTAGAATATTTCTCAATGTTTCAAGTTGAATTAGTGAAAAATTGACCGAATTTATCAAAATATTTCTCATTACTGATGTCTATATTATTGGCATGATTCAATTCAATGATTTGAACTTTTAATGAACATATCACTCTATACAGTATGTATTATTATACTAGTATTTTTCTTAATATTATTATTTCACTGGTTGAAATCATGAGTCAATTGAAGCTAGACCATCATGGAAAACCTGGAAGCACTGGACGGCCGTTTCGTCCCAGTATGGGACTCCTCACGCCAGGCGCTTAACCAACTAGACCACTGAGCCGGCATCCAACGATGTTAATGTCTAACTTCAACCAATCCACGAGACTGATAGGTCCTGGGTTCGAATCTCGCGGGGGACGCGATCGTGGATGCGCATTGCTGAGGTGTCCCGTATTGAGACGAAACGGCCGTCCAGTGCTTCCAAGTTTTCCATAGTGGTCTAGCTCCAATAGACTCATGATTTCAGCCAGTGAAACTTCGTAAAAAAATCTCCACAAAACCTATTCTGATAATAATATTATTATAGGACAAATATTTGGGATTACAGAAATTCACAACTTTCCATCATTTATGTCAACGAATTCATCAAATAGTATTTCATCTAAACAAGTAAAGTAAGTGATTGATCGTTTTTTGTTTTTTATCTCACTATGTTCATGTGTTCCAGTTGTTTATTTGTTTAAGATATAATTCTATAGTCTCTTTGAATGATTATCTTTAATATTAACGACATTCTCGATTTCATTTTACTTAGGATTAGGATTTTGATAATGTTCGTGTGTTGTGTTAATAATAACTTCGACACTATGAACGAAACTATTGTTCACTTATTTTTTTCCTGTCCTGATAACGTAAAAACATCAGTTGACGAAACTGTAATTTATGAATGAATCAATATAAGATAACGAGTCTTGGATTTTGGCACGAAATTCATTTATCCATTTGGTTAAATACAGTTTTTGGCATAATAGTTGATGTTAATTCATGATGAAAACGATAAATCTAACATGTAAACCTAACCATCAACTGTAAATCATAATTCTAATTCTTCACACTGGTTTATAAACCTCATTTAGTCCTAGTTAGTAGATAGACATCTTCAAGGTCGCTTTAGCGTCACTCAAAGGTTATCCATAAATTTTAGTCTCATCTATATCAATAAAAAAAATGATTAGAACACCTAAACTCAATACTTGTCATTAACAAAAATTATCGTAAAAATGTATTAAACTTCTATGCACATTGTTCACGCTGAATAATTTAACAGAACTTCAACCTAATCGACATTGGTTTACATCTCATAAACTGTAACTTGAGAGTGTACACCCCTAACAGAGTTAAAAGTGAAATCCTAGACCTACATTTCGTTCTGTATGGAATTCATTTACTGGATATGCTCGTATACTATTATCAGTGTATTTAGTGAAACTCAGACCTAAAATACTTTAAATGAAACACTAGTAAGTTATCCACTAAGCTACTAAGTCCTGATTTTATTGGTAATATGGGCTGCTTGACTAACTAACTCAATAAGGGCTCCATTTTAAAGTTGATTATATTTTAAATATTGAATTCCCCCAGCTAACCATCAACTGATGTGGTCAACTTGTAACTACAGACAATATCATTTCACCAACAGAAACCGGTCAAATTCACCCTTGAATATAAATAACGGTTAAATGCAAAATCTTACAAATAATAATGAAAATACCACTGTTTCTAAGAGTTTAATTATTTTAGCTATAAACGTGAACATTCTATTCAAAATTTCCGTCGTGGTTCCTGCAGTACTTTCAAAGTTAACATGATCAAAATAGCATTATCTTCTGTAATTAAATAACCATACTTTGTGGAACAGGATTAAACTTGTCAGTAAATATGTTTTCGATTGAGATCATGAATCGATCAATGTTAGACTACCGCTGAAAACCTGGAAGCACTGGACGGCCGTTTCGTCCTAACATGGCGCCCCTCAGTAGTGCGCATCCACGATCCTGCACGAGAAACTCGAACCCAGGACCTTCGGCCTTGCACGTAAACGCTTAACCCATACAGATAATTATCATGTGCTCATAAAAGACTAGCTTCGTTAGATAATTCTCGGAGTTCTAGTGAGAAGCCGTGATCAATGGAACTAATCCTCGTCACGTAGAGACAGGTGTCTACCTCAGACAATAAAAGATGGTCGCGCAATTTCGTGGATAGGTTAAAATTAGACATTAACACCGTTGGATTTCATCTCAGTAGTCTGAAGCTTAAGTGTCTGTGCGCGAGGTCGAAGCTCCTAGGTTCGAATCCCTCGTGCGCACTACTGACGGTCGTCCAGTGCTTCCAGGTTCTAAATGGTGGCCTAACATTGATCGATTCATGATCTCAATCAAAATCTTAACAATCTCAACAATCCCACACTGATAAATATGTTTTCTTTGTTAAGTGTTTATTACAGTAATATATCACACGTAGGACAACCGAAACATCTAAAAATATATTTATTATGAACTTATGAGGAACTTGTTTAATTACAGTTTAAGTGATTTCTCAACAAATGACTATCCAGTATTCGTTGATTTACATTAATCTTGAATCTAATTATTTAAAGATTACTGTTAAGTATGACGATAAAGTAGTCAGATATAAAAACGATTTTAGCAGAATAATGTGCATTTATTTTATTGCGTTGCATTTTTGTCAGCCGCTTACAACCTGAAATATCCAAAATAGTTACAAAATGCGTCGAGTTTAATTTAATTCGTGATGGTTTACATTATCATATGGTTAATATTTTTGTCAATTTTAGTTGACATATGCGAATCCTGTAAAGATTGCCTTGATATAGCTAATATATCACAAGTTTAGGTAGAATGTAGCTAATAGTGAATCAAAATACAGTTCAAGTACCAACAACTAGATAATCCGAACTATTACAAAAATTAGGTTACATTTTATACCCGTTGCACAAATGAGCGGTTATCTGAAATCTTTAGCTAAGTGGATAACACGTTGGTGTTTGAATTCCATAGTGAACATCAACTTTGGAATCCCGACACATTCTATCTATTCTATGTAGTAGTTTAGTTGGAAGTTATTTTGAAGATACATCAGTATAGTGAGGATGCAAATAAATTTAATAGACTAAATAAAATATTGTAAATATATATCTTATGTAAAAACAGTGCTTTTCGATTTTCTTTTATAGGTGATATACATTTACAATATTTTACTTAGTCTATTAAATTTATTTACATCCTTGCTATACTATAGTAATGTGTCTTCAACATAACTTCCAACTAAACTCTTTCATGAAAGCAATTCAGACAGATTCTGTAATTATAATTTTTAAATAACACAGGTTGTAAGCATCTGACGAGAACCAAACGAAATAAAATGAATTCATGTTATTCAGTTTAAGAATTTTTTCTTGCTTTCTTCAAAATGATAAAGAGAACTAAGTGTATGAAACAAGATGTACGTATAAAAGTCATGCTATATCATTTAGAGCTTACCCGTTCGCACATACAAGTCGTCATCACTTATAATGTTATTTGGTAAAACTTAAAGTGCAAATGTTTTGCACACGTTGAGAAGCTTTAAGGTCCTGGCCTTGATCCTAGATGAAGTATTGGTTACGTTCATTGTCAAGGGTCTCCTGAAGATACTAGGATAAACAAACTACAATTTTCGTTGGTTCTCCAGTTCATACCATGTCATGGTAACAAGTAGAACATAACCTGAATAACTTACGGAAAATAATCTATTCCTATGAAAAAAATTTAGTAATCTTCTCTAAGTTCCAATTAATGTCAAAAAGTAGCCACTATGTTTAAAATTACTTCGTCTTATTTAACAAATGATACCATATTAATTTGAA